GAGGTCAGGAGCGCACCGTCCGTCCAGCGGCCGACGCCGGCCGCTGTGACCGCTGTGAACGCTCTGACCCGAGCGCAGCACCGGATGACGTCCTTCCGGGGCGCCCGCCCACCGGTGTCGCCCGACAGACTGATAGCGGTGCAGCGCCGACTTCGCAGGAAACGCAATCTGGCTCTCCATCCGTCGGACTGGCCACCGGAATCGGGGAGACTCGCTGGGTTTCACGAATCAAATGTGGTCGGCCCATCCGTCCGCTGACCGCCCCCAGGCTTCTGTTGGTTGGTTTTTGGGATTGCATCACCGTCCACTGAAGGATGTCCACCCGTTTGTCTGTTGGTCTGGCCTTTAATCAACCCTTCTGCAGATGCGTAGACGTCTATTCGGGCCTGTCAACCGTCTACCGACAGCCGCCCGAACGCGAAACAAAAGGACAGATGTGCGCCTTGGCTACATTGCAGTTCCATGACAGCGTGATGCAAGTCCGTCATAGTCACCTGATGTGTCGACCGGTCCCGTGACTAACTCACGACTCAGGCGCCTGAGTCACGACTCAAAGTCGTGCTCATAGTTCGCCGCCGGTCTAACCCAACTGGGTGCAGCGGCGGCGCCCACTCAGCACTCCCTCCCGTCATGGCGGCGACTCATAGGGGCTGTCAGCGACGTTTCCAGAACCAGTGACCACCCGCGCCGCCCCCGCCCCCGGCTGGTGGCTTCTGGTCTCCGATCCCCGCGGTGCCCCTGATCGTGACCCTCACGTGTCTGCGGCGGACGAAGGGCGAGCGCCGAGCACTGGTCACCGTCGACCGTGTCCAAACAGTCGACAAAGGCGATGCCGGCCCCACTGGCCATGTTTATTTGCTGACGTGTCGGCGAGCGACTCGACCGCTGGCCACTCTCCGCCTGTCGCCAGTCCCGCCCTCCAAGGCGGATCGCGACCGAGGCGGCGGCGGCGGCGGCGGCGGAGCTCATATCTGTTTGCTCAGTTTGGCGTCGTTCGATTGGAGCCGACGTGCCCCAGGTGCGACTGAGGCACTCGCGGTCACATCCGGCCAGTCTCGGTCAAAGTCGAGCGTCCCGACGCGCCTCAGAGAGGTACCGGGTAGACGCCAAGGCCAGCGACCACTCAGCGCGATTGGACGCCCCGGCTGAATCGACAGCGCTCTCCCGGCGATCGGCGGGGTTTGATTTATGTTCCTGTATAAGAAGTATGAACACTAAACATCTGACGAATATGACCGCGCATAGACGAGGGCGGCGCACAGAAGACATGGCCAAGTCACCTATGAGCTCACTATCGATCACCAGCGATTTCATTCGTGACCAACGACGACAAATAAGGCACTGACGGCGCGCCGGCGAATCCACCACACCCCAATGGACAGCGCAGTCACAGTGCGTGTCCGAACGCAGACATCCGCGACTGGCGACCTCATCTGGAACCGTCCAGCGCTCTCAGCCACACACGTCTCCCTCTGAACGGTGGACCAAGCGCGCAGCTCCCACCGCGACCCGCCGAGACTCCCAGGGAAGTCTGGAGTCCGACCGAGCCGAACCAACCACGGACGGTCTCGGTCCCCGGCTGCGCCGTTCGCCAACACTTTCACGGCTGGGCGCCGCGCCGCTCTTCGTGCCAAACGTGTCGCAATCACTGCGGCGCTGCTGACGGGCGTCCGTCACTACGGCGCCACTTCAGACACACGGGCAGACGACGGACGGTGAGTTGGAAATAGCCGGCTCGACCGGGGGCAGGTCAAAGCCCGAGGGTAAGGGAGAGGAAAGATAGAGCACTGGGAGTCGAGTGCTACAACACGACGCGAGTCCGTTTTAGCCGGGTTGGATGGGCGAGGTTCGAGTGTTGTCGCGTGCCTGGCTGAACTGGAGGGGCGGTGTCTTTCAGAGCCGAACAGCGCGCTACCAGACGCGTCTCGGGGGGGAGGGGGAGGTGGCGCCGGCTGCTGTCAAGCTGAAGAGCCCGGCCGGCAGCTGTCTGCCCCCCCCCCCCCACTGCCCCGCGCCTGGAGAGGGGAGGAGGTCTGGCAGCGATTTAGGCGGCGCCGGGGAACAAAGTTTGCCGGATAACAGCACAACTTGCAATGTGAACTGAGAAGTAAAGATCAGCAACTGGGAAAGGATGCCGGGCGACGCAAGGGCAGGGAGACCGGTTAGCGTTCATCAGAAAAGTTTCCAGTGAGTTGAGTCCTTGGCAGCCTTCCAACTTATGCTCTGAGCTTATGTATCGAATACATCACCGATTCGCCGAAATTCTGACGCACCCGGCGGAAATGATTCATGGTTTCAAAACTGCATTGGTATCGGGACCGTCATTCAATTTGTCTCCGAATTCGGACAGAATGTCATTGACGGTGGCTCCAAACGGCCCGGCCGGCCGCCGCTCCAGTGCCCTGAGACTGACTGATCCATTATTAGCCCGGCGGGGAGTACGGACCGATCGCTGTTCCCCGGCACCAGTTCGGTGGCAAACGGGGGGAGGAGTAGACGGCCGAGCCCGTCCCCGTCCCCAGCCGCCCTCCGGCCCGTCCCCAGCCCGGCGGCAGCCACGAATAGCTCTCTGAGCTCGAACGTGAGCCGACATCCGGCCGATGGTGACGTCACCGTCCAGAGCCTTCCGAACCCGTCTGAAGGCTGGACCGACCGAGCGGACAGGCACATACCGGCAAAGGTCGCGTCTCTAGCGGTAAGCAAACACAGTAAAAGTGCGATGATTGGTCGATAGGTGGCGGGGCGATCGCCGTACCGCTACGGCTGAAGAGAGCTCCGTCTGAGAATTTTATGGAACCGGGTGTCGTCGACCCACGGAGGCGTAACGGGTGACCTTAACCGGACTGGGATCTGTAGAACCCATTCAGCCGCGACCGCTGATCGGGTCAAGTGGAGAAAATCCGGGAATACCCGAATACCAGCTCGGTCCTCGACCATTTCATTTCGGTTCCGATGCATTGCTGAGGACCCACTTACCGATTACATTATCATACCCACTGTCTCAGTCAACACTTACAGCTAAGTCACAGCTAATGGATCCCTTATCTAACCACATACCATCCTGTCTCACAAACATGAAATCACGGACCTCTTTCTATATTTATCCAAGGCTCACTCGCCTGTCTCCGGGCTGTGCTATCCCGAGTCCCGGTGAACGTGACACGTGGAATGCTCTTGGGATTCCGCCTTCTCAGTCGCGACACCAAACAACCTAACGGCTCGGGTGATAGTGGCGCCGGTCATGGCGTCAAAGACATTGAGAAGGCAGACGGAGGAGGCGAAAGCGGTAGACGGTAAACGGTGACGTGGTCTGGAGGTGGTATGTAGGATCGTGAGACGGCATTTAGGGTCGGAAGACGGTAGACGGCGATGGAGACGCCGCACACGGCGGATGCAACAGCGGTAAAGGTAAACGGTGAAAGATAGACGGGATTGAAGATGGCATGCAGGGTTGGAGAACGGCAGACGGTGGACGGAGACGGCAGACGGTAAACGGTGACGGGGTCGGGAGACGGCAGACGGGTTCGGGAGACGGCATACAGTAGACGGAGACGGCGGAGGTAAACGGTAAACGGTGCTGGGGTCGGACTCGGGAGACGGCTGATGGATGGGATTGACAGACGGTGTTGGTACGAGAACGGATGAGAGCGGAACGGTAAAAGGCAGATGGGGTCTGTAGACGCTGGTGAGGTCGGTAGTGGTTGCAGACGCAGTGCAGAGAGGGGTAAAGGGCAAAGGGCATTGGGGGCGCCTCAACGGTGTGTCAGCAGATCCGTGCCGGTATGTGCAATGTGCATCACGTGCGTCACGTGGTGTCACATGGCGTCACAAGGTGTCACATATCCTCACGTGGCACTATTGAGACCAGGTGGGCAGCTACTGGTGCCGACTGTCACCTCTCTTAGTCACATACACTGTCACAAGGACTCTGTTCCGATCTGAATGGACATTGGACAATAAGCGATTCACTTTGAACGGAACCAGTCAGTCATTTCGTTCTGATCAGCTGGTCACTCTGATCAAACGGTGAGACAAAAACCTCGTCAAGATAGTAACTTGGACTTTGATTCAGTCTAAGAGCGCAGCGATGATCCTTGCTACTTGATTGAAGAGCAGAGATACATAAAATGTTGTCCGCTACGACGGATTGGCCGGCCAACAATCAACTGCTATCATCAATATGGCGTCTGAAGAGTTGTCTGAAACTCGAACAGCGCTGCACAGTAGCACAGTCGAATATGTCTGTAGTTGCCATGTCTCCTTAGGTTTACATGCATCGACGGATCGTGCATGCAGCTAGGCCGTGAACTTAAAGCACTAATTCATGAATTGCCCAAAAAGCGACATAGCTCATAAACAAATTATGTGGACGAGGAAAAGTCACCAGGTGACAGCCACAGCTTAGCGTGAAAACAATGGACACAATTGCCCCAATCAGCACCGTGTCTGAATACGTTGAAATTCCTCAGAATCGCTAGCCTGTATGGAAAACACGAACATGATCTAAGCAGATCGCAATGCAGTGACGCCCACTCAAATGGCAGAGCGAGCGCGGGCTAACGTTTGGCCTTTAGAGGCCCTGCAAGAAGACAACATGGCATTCCCAGGTTTTCAGTGTTGTGCGCAATTCGTGAGCAAAACTGAAAAATAGCGAACTTACCAGGCATGTCATGTAGGTAAAAGTACTGCTAAGAAACTATTTTCCCCTTTAAATAAACACGTGCCATGCCTGACGTATGTATGTACGTAAGCGCGGAATGTAAAGAAGCCAGGAAAAGCTGCTGCGCTGCGCATTCATTTAGCACGCAGCATATGAATGTCAGTACGTAGTTTAACATACAATCTCACTCTATCTACCGATCTTTCTTGGTCCACATCTTCTCACCCCTCCCTCTCTCTCCCCTCCCTATCTCCCTTCTGGCTTCTTTCCCTTCCTTCTCTCTGCTCTCATTACCGCGGTATCTTTACTCCCTTCAATGCCCTATTCCTATTCCTCTCACCTTTTTCCTTTTTGCTGACGGCCAGGCTGTCGGCCCTCCGGACGTCCCTGCGCTCGAGGCCCCTCTCCCCGGGCAGCGTCAGGTGGCCGCGGTTGGCTCCCTTCCCTCCAGACGCGCGCAGCACCGGCGGCAGAGAGCTGTGCAGACTCTCGGCGCTGTGGAAGGTGGCCAGCGGAGACAGCGGCGGTCCGGGCCGCGCGTGCGTCAGCGGGTTCACCTGGACCCCCTCTGCGGGTCGCACCGGCCGGTTACGGCGCAGTGGGGAGTCAGCTCGGAGCCGGAGAGCCGGGTCAGGCCGCGGAGCCGGCCGGCGTCGGCCTGACGGCGGACCCCCGCCGCTGCTCGTGGTGCCGCCGCCGCTCGGCCGACGGTAGTCGACAAACAGCGACGAAGGTCCCTTCTGGTGCAGGAAGGACTGTGACGTGCGCACCTCATGGGGAGACTGAGAGCTGCGCTCCCGACTGGCGGCGGCATCCACCAGTGATGATGCAGGCTGACTGTGCGAGCGTGGCCTCTGACCGGAGCCTCCTGAGCCGGCCGAGCTGTCTCGCGGCCTCAGTCGGACCGGCGTCTCCTGCTCTGGTGTCTGCTCGGAGGAGCCAGCGGTAGCGTCCGCCGCCGGCCGGCCCGGCTGCCGGCGCGCACTCTTGGCCACAGCCGGCGGCGGAGGTGGCACGAAGTCCGGCGGCGGCGTCTCCAGACCCTCCAGTCGGCCTTCCTTCAGCAGTTTACGGATCGAGTCGAACTTGTTCCTCTGTTTGCCGCTGTCCTGGCGGGCTGGCTTGGAGTCAGTCGGGGTCTGCTCAGCAGCGACTGCGGCGATGAGACCCGCCTGGCGCCTCTTTCTAGATCCCTCATTTTCATCACTAGCCGAGTTATGGCTCTCCAGTGAGCTGATACCCTCATCCCGATTAGTTAGCTTCTCCGGGATCCGTTTACGAGCCTCCTTTCGATGTACAAAGTCGAAGCTGGTGGTAGTCGACCAATCACTCTTTCGTCGTCTTCGGCGCTTGGCTGCGCCCTTGGAGCGCCCGTCCTGATAGTCAAGTGAGTCATCAGAGTAGTAGGAGTCATCGGGCTCCATTTCTACCTCCTCAGCTAGCGACGGTGGCTCATCCATCGACACATTCAGGGCGTCGGCGTCGTCAAAGGCCGGGGGAGGTGGAAGGTTCCTGTGGAAGTCTTCAATCATTGCCTGAAGAGGTGTCATGGCTGGCTTGGTAGACGATGCTGCTGTTTCCTCAGCGGGAGGGGATGAGGGACCAGCGGTGTGCGGAGGAGAAATGGCTGTCTCGGAGGGAGGAGGAGGTGCCGACTGTGCCGGAGGGGAGGGAGGAGAGGGAGGAGGTGTGGGAAGGACTGACTCTTCCTCAGCGGGAGGATGGACCGGGGACGGCGGCTGTTTCGGGGAGGAAGTTCTTCGTGCGGACTGCTTGATTGATATGGCCGAGCTCTTGCGTGAGGAGGGTGCTTGGGACACAGGTGCTCCCTGCTTTACTGAGGTTGACTGCTTTGCAGCTAGTGCCTCCTTCGACGAGCTGGGCTGTTTCGGCGCTGGCGACACCTTGGACGAAACCCGCGCTGCCGGCTGCTTCGGAGCGGGTGCCGGTTTCGGGGCTGGCGTCTTTTTGGGCGACGAAAGCTGTTTGGTGAGTGACGGCCGTTTGAGCAGGGAGGTGGATTTCTGCGGGGTGGGCGGCTGCTTCCCTGCCGCTGCCGTCTGACGGACCGAAGGAGGTGTCTCCTGCTGTGGAGACAGGTGTGTCACTGTCACCTCCCGAGTGGGCGTGGTCGCCACGCTGGTCTTGCCACGCCCCTTCGAGTCCGTCTTCGTTTCAGCCGCCGGTGCGTCCTTCTCTGGCGTTTTCTTCTTTTGATGTCGCTCCTTACTCTCTTTAACCTTGTTCTTCCGATGCATCGGTGGCGAGGTTTTGGTCGCTCCGAATCTACCACCAGAGGTCTTCTTCTTTCCAACCTTCTGCTTTTCCTGCAGCCCAAACAGCGCCTCTGTGTCGGAGCCCTCGCGAGCCAGCGAGTCCGTCTCGGAGAGCTCGGAGTCATAGTAGTCCGGGCGGGGTGACGGCGGCGCCGGGATGTACATGTTGGTGTTATCGTTCAGCCGGTCCTTGACGATGGGGGAGAAGAGCGGCATCTTCTTGGGGTAGCTGTTTGTGGGCGGGGAGTCGGGCTGCTCCATCGCCAGTGAGCCAGGCAGGGACATGGGACCCATGGCCGGGCCGCTGCCGTCGCCTCCATCTCGGTATGAGACATAGTTGAAGGTTCGTCCACCGCCATCCAGTTCAAACGTCACCTCTCCAACCGTGGCGCCGTCTTCTCCTCTCTCCAGCACGCGGTCATCGGCAGCGACGGACCGCGTCGGCGTCGGCGGCTCGTCGCTCCGGCGCAGACCGCGACCGCGGCGCTCCTCGCTGCCTGTCGGCGCCGCGCGGAAGCTGTGACTGCCGCGGCCGCCGGCGGTGGCGCTGGCGTCGCTGTGCCGCGAGCTGAGGGAGCCGCTGGGTGCGGAGGCCTGGCGCTGGATCGGCGGGGAGGGCGCCGGTCGGCTCGGGCGGAGACGACTCTGCAGGCGCGGAGAGAGTGGACGTCAGAGGGTCAGTTAGTGCCGTAATGTTAGACGGTATCCGGTTAACACTAGACATCTAATGGGGGCTGGGGAAAATTTTTCGACGATCTATAATAGCGGAACTGCGGTTAGATAGCATTCAGAGGCGCACAAAAAAGTAATTCATGGACAAACTGGATAATCACGATTAAATGCGCTGGTTAAAGGCATCGAAGCGTATCGTTATCAAGGATGACGTTCGGACAGCGTTATTTCAGTCTCGGAAGCCGATGTCCGTTTCACAGTAATCAGTAACAACGTATAATGAGGGGCCGTCACAGGAATAATAGCCTAATGCCACTCTGATCAAGCCCGACAATGCCCATACCGCTGTCCAGTCCTTGAACGACAGACCCATCAGCATTTTCCCACACAGGACGTAGGCCTCGACACGGTTAGTCACACATTTCTCCATGAGTGTCTCGTGACCGAAGGAGTCAGTCTTACCTTGACAGAAGGCTGGGGCGGTTTGTAACATTTTTTTTATACGCGTCATTATGGGTTCATCTTACTCCTCTCTGCCTTACCTCCAATCTGACCTGTAGCAACGAAAGGTCGCCGAAGTCCGTTCCATGAAATGTAGCCCACACTAACCTGGCCTCCACGCTAGCCTGTTGCAGCGGCCGGGAGCCGGTAATTCTCAGTCCCTCCTCACTCCCCCGTTCCTTACCTCCACACTGGCCTGCCGCAGCGGCCGGGAGCCGGTTCCACGCTGACCCGTGCCCGTCTCAGTGGCCGCTGTCGAGGCCGTGCTCCGCATGGTCGATACGGAGCCGTTCAGGGTACTGGTCGGTGTGTCGGGCCCGCTGCCGAGACACCACACATGACACCGGGTCAGACACACGAGAGACACCGGGGGCTGACACGGCGTAGCACGACACACTGACACCTTAGCGGGCACGTGGGCGGAACATCGAACCTGATACTAATGACACATCTGAGATGTAGTCACCGAGGATCTGGCCGGTATAGACCATGGACTTGAGCTATGCCGATGGGTTCAGATGATGAACTTTACTCGACAATTAGGTACGGTTTTGTTTATCACACAGTGACATAGTTTACCTTCATTATATCAATGTATTTCATATAAGACAAATAAGAAAATAAGATATAAAAACTAGGAAGGATCGTTGTGAGTTATGAGTCCCCAAAACAAAGCGCAGCGACTTCGATTGAATAGCAACTACCCAAATGAATGAAGCACATGCAACTACCCACACATCAACTACCCACTAAGACATGAATGAAGTCATAACAAGACGACTCAAATATGCATTATGTTATCACCAATGATCTAAAGCCATTTTTAAACCGTTTACATGTTGCTGTCATTTTCGGCATTATGAACACATCATGACGTCAGTTCCGACAACATGAAAACATGAACACCGCAGACAATCAGGCCTACCGGAAAGAGGGATTTAAATGCAAGGCTCAGTGCACCCCATTTTTATTGTAGCTAGGGAAACTCAACTCTAAAGCCCACTTCTTTGACCCACTGCGTTCGACGTTCATGTCATACCTTCCGGTTAAACGCATTGCATAAGTATCATACATAAAATGGCATTCATTGTGCGTCTCTGTAGCATAAGGCAATGACCCCCCCCCCCTAATTTTGATCTCTCTATTCGATCATGATTATTTGAAGACCCACTGACCGACCGACCACAACACTCACCGGTTGAGGAGCAGGGAGATCTGCTTCTGGGCCTCCTCCGGCGGCGGAGGCGGCTCGTCAGGGTTCCGTCTCCGGTCCCTCTTCCGACGAGCTGGCGGTCTCCTCTCATCTCTGTTCCTCGCTGAGTGCTGCTTAGCCGGCAGAGATGGCTTCTGCTCCTCACTGGCTGGGGTTGCCTCGGTGACGGGGGCGGCCGGGGGTGACCCTCGCACGGGTCGCGGACCCGCGCGGGCTGACCCCTCGGTCAGGGTGCCGGCGGGCCGGCGGAGTGGCAGTGAGCCACCCGGCGCGGCCGTCTCCTGCGCCGGCCGGACTGTCGGACCCGCTGAGCGAATCGTCTCTACTGGGGAAGGCGTGCGCTCCTTATCTTCAGGTGGTGCAGCTGTGTGTTGTGTGTAGCTCACGTCCCTGCCGGGCTCCGGAGGGCGGGACGGCTGCTGCTCCAGCCTCGCCTCCACCGTGTGGTAAGTCGCCTCGCTTTGTTCTTGACCTGTCGTGTCATGCGCGCCGTGAAGCCTCTCCCCTGCTCTCTGCTCGGGATGGTTTTGCACCGGAGTCTGAGATCCGCTCTGACCTTCTCTAGCGTCTTGTCGAAGAAGTTCCTGTCTGTTGGGCTGTCTGTACTCCAGGCTGCGGTCCCCTCGGGGGCTCAGCAGCTGCGGCTGAGGACGGTGGTCAGGCCGACCGTTCAGTGCCCGCTCTAGCCTACCCAGCTCGTCTCTCGCCAAACCAGCGCGACCAGTCAACACAATCGGGCCGTGCGGCTCGAAATTGAGCGAGAGCCGTTTGATTTTAGAATCGATATTCCCGCTGACCTCTGGCGCCGCTCCGCTTAGCGCCTCCTTGGCAGGTAGACTGCGCCGGCGCGGGTCGCCAGGAGGGTAATAGTTGAGGTGCGGGGACGACTTCTGTCTCAGCGCTGCTTTGGTCGGCAGAGGCGGTAGCTCCGGCGGCGGAGGAGGTGCGGCGGCGGCGGACGGGGCTCGCTGTCGACTGCGGCCGGCCCGCTCGGTGTGACCGACTGATACGACTGTCGGTTGGATTTGACTGACAGACATCGGTGACTGTTCCGCGGCGGGAGGCAGCTCGTGACTCGGTGGTGGCGGGGGCGGGGGCGGAGGCGGGGGAGGTGGCGGCGGACGCGTGGTAGGCGGTGGCCCGATCGGACGCACCACTTTGGGAGGCGAGCGGCGCGCAGCCACCGAGTCCCCAAACCTTGTCTCACTCTGTGAGCGTCTCGGTCGCGACTCACCGGGCCTCGACTTAGCCACGGAGCTCTGAGCCCTCACCAAGAGCGCCGTCTGCGGCGGCGAGCTCTCTCGACTCGAGCTCTCGAAGCTCCTGACCAGTCCGTTTACCCTCGAGCTTCCAGTCCTGCCCGGCGGTGACGGGGAGGGCGACTGAGCTCCTCGCTCCGCCCTGTTTCCCGCCGAGGAGTGGGCCGTGTTGGCATCACTCCGGCTGGACCTCCAGCTGGCTGCGGGCGTGGCGGCGGCGCTGGCCGAGCGCGGCTTGGTCGACCGGTCGACGGGCGGCGGAGAGGTGCGCCGGCCCGCGCCCTCGGCCTCCAGCTCGGCCAGCGCGTCGGCGGCCGCCGCCGGCGACTCGCCGTCGCCGCTGAAGAAGCTGTCCGTCTCGATGTCGTCGAACTCGGAGAGGACGCGGTCCAGCACGGCTAGCGACGACTCGACGTCCGAGCTGCAGACAGAGAGACACATAAAGACATCAGCTACTGCAGAGGGTCACATTGGCATTACAGTAATTGCTATTGCTCAACCTTGACGTTTCGAATTGAAAAAAAAATACAAGAATAAATAAAAAAAAAATCATATTTGCATGACTTGACGCGTCGTGATTAGCTGGTATGGTGGTAGCATATCCATTGTTTGAGGCGGGGTTCGTGCCAGCTCAGTCTATGTAAAGTAAAAAAAAAAAAATGTCGGTAAAAACAAATAAACGTTCAAGCTCATATCCGCTTTCCATAGTCAGCTAAGTGCGTCAATTGCCGCACAACACGGATTCGTGTTTGTTTTGTCGCTTTTCCTATTAATCACACCTGCTCGCAACACATAGACAGCTAAGTCAGGGACATGACGCAAATATGAATCATAAAACACTCCCTCGTATTGCATTATCGTAGTAGAGAAACCTTACGAAACGTGAAAACTGCAACCGAGCTCACGGAGCACGAAAGAAGGATTTATGCAAGAGCACACATGATTCAAGCACTATAATATCATACGCCCAGTACCCAAGCAAATGCGCCCAGTACCCAAGTTTGCATTTGCACAGTAAGAAAACGATCGATAACTTAAACGCACACACGGTGCATACGATAATAACGACAAACAGTCCGAAGATTCAGACGAATGGTCCACCAACGGGCACCTACAGATCCATGAGACGACACAAACGAACCCAGCTCGTCAGGCTGACACCACTCGGGCTGACTCACCAAGTCACAACCTCTTTTCAAGACAGCTCACCAACTATTCGACACCTCCAAACTCGCATCCACCGCCCACCACCGAGCACCAAGCCCACTGCACGAGCGGCACCGGCGCAGTGACCGTCGGTCCGACCGACACTCCACCACTGCCACACCGACAGACGGTAGCCGGTCCGGTGCGGCGGTAGCAGCGGCACAGGTACCGACGGAGCCCGTGTGTGCCGGCTCGCCAGCGACCGCGCCGCAACGGGACCGTCGCTGGCCGGCCGGCCATCTGTTCGGCAGGCAGCACCGAAACTCGACCGTTTGTGCCGAATGTGGGAGCTCAAAAGCAGTGGGGAAGTGTGAGAGGGAGACGGGGAGAACCGTGGGGAGACGAAAGGCGTGGTCGAGTCGGGGAAAGATGACGGAGCGACGAGATGGCGCAACAGAACAGCAGGCAGACGACGAGCATCGAGAAGGATTATTCTAATCCAGTCGAACGGAACACGACTGAAGCCATTGAGTGCCACCTTCACCAAAGACCTCTGCAGGGAACGAGCTTCCTGGGACTTGGACCCACCCGTCAGTTCGTCACCCGAGCTCCAGTCGGGTGACGGCCGGGTTTCTCCCTGCAGGGAACACGGCACCGTCAGCTGTGTGACGGGCTGACCGACACGCGGCAGTGAGAGCGGTCTGCCGCGATCTCCCAGCCCCCTGGGGTGTCCGCTCGGGTGGCCACTCTCTCGGGCGGGCCCCTGGACGGGGCTGGTCAGCCGGGAGAGACTGGGCGGCGGCTCGGTGGACCGTGTAGTGCGGCGCAGTACCGTCGCTCGCTGCGGTCCGCCGGAGCTGCCGACTCGGCGGTGAACACTGCGGACTGCGGAGAGCGGCCAGCCCACCGGCGGACGGACACACTCCGCTGCATGGAGCTGCAGCGGCCAGCCCAGACACGAGATGGCCCCAATCGGCCGACAGACAGGCACGCCCGCCCAGCCGCAGCCGTGGGCTGGAGTAGCCATTGTGTTAGGAAAACAATGCGGCAAATGGTGTCAACGAGGCACTCCTTAACGTCGTTCAATTATAAGAGTTTGAAGAGCGAAGCATGTGTGTCAAACACCGGCCATCGACACTGCTGCTTGGTTCATAATCCCAGTAAAATTGTAGCTCATTCTTCGTACACATTACCAGATTTCAGCTATCCAAACCACAAACGCATAAGCCAGCGATATATCACACTGAAGTCGTGTCAAAAAAACCGGCGTGTGCTTCCTGCCTGAGAAAACCACCGTGAAATCGTTCGTCGAGCTGGCGTCCAGCCAAGATCCGCTCGGCATAACCATGACGGAAAAACGAGCCGATAATAAAAACTTCCCAAAGCGGCAGCAGCTGTACTATCGCTGTAAAACATCAGTCACCTGACGCGCCCAGCACTCATTCCCATGTACGAGTCGCCGACTCAAGCTGTGATTAAACGATACAGGCGAGACTTATGTGTATAAACACACATCAAGTCTCGATTAAGATGCATCACTATCAGGGAACCAATTTAGCGAGAGACGGTGATTCCCGATCCCAGCATGGGTTCTCCTTGCTTAGTGGGCCATCGGTCATAGCTCGTTATAAATACCCTCTCCGGCTAACAAGGAATGCTTTGTTTTCTCATATCACTCTCCCACCAGCGACAGATAGGCATGTGTTTAGGCGGACAGCCTTGTGGGGTCGACCCTGAGCCAAACCGGGTCACCAGGCGATGGTGAGGTCAGTGCCGCCCCGGTCACACCACACAGTCAATGGGGCTTGTCCGCCCCCACGGCAGCCGCAACGCCCTCAACCCCGCGGCAGCCGCGGTAGCCACATTGCACCGCCCTCCGCTCAACCCCCGCGGCAGCGCCGCCCTCACCCATTCGGAGTCTTGTGGCAGAACAGCCCATTGAAGGCACGCCGAGCCAAGGTTGCTGTTGGCGGTTCTTCACTTATGAATTGATTTGGTTCGATTTATGAGCACCGTGAGTTCCTTGCAGAACACTTTTTCTCCAAATAAGGGGACGAACATTAGGTCGTTTCCTAATGAGGATCAGTCCCGAGGAAGACGAATATTTTAGCTAAGCCATTGTTCGAACAATGAAGGCAGATATTAAGCAATCTTTATCTGTTTCCCATAACAGCGTCGTTTGCAGCACTAAAGGAACAATGCCAAATGACGTAGACGGGTCTCGGTCACCGTACGACGCACGTCATCATGTGAGGCATCACTGCACTGGTGCACTGCGCACAGGTCGACGGTCAGTCAAAAGTCAAAACTGGTAGAACACCTGTCTGGTGCAGTTGAACGGTATAGGTAAAAGGCTGTGATACTTCCACGTAGCGTAGGCAGTCCACTGAGCACGGTTGAAGTCTGTGTCCGTCCTAAACCTCGATTAGCGGAGACGGCAGTTCAGAGCTTCAACATAAGCTTCGGCTGATATAAGATAATGAACAGCTTACAACTTCGCCGCCATCCATCGCTCATATATAATGAAACATCCTGTAGGTTCCCACTACCGTCCGATCGACTCGCCTAATGGGCAGTAGACCGGACGTCTTCCCACAGCGCTATCCGACAGGGTCTTCGAACGCAGTGGTCACCCACCGTGGCATACTGCCGGGGAGGGGCGGCGCGGCAGGGGGGGGGGTCTCGCTCGCGTGCGCTCCGGTCTCGCGCACAGTGACCTGATGACCTTGACGTGGCACGGGAGTGACACAGTGTCACCAATGACGTGATTATGCACAGGGTGACGAGGTTTCTACAGTATTTGAAATTAGAAGACTGATTCGTTGAAACTCCGTGCAACTTGAATGTGTCCCCAATAAACATCTTTTACGCGTAGGTATAAGACGCTGTTTACATCGAAAGTGCTTTGATATAATAGCCAAACACTGAATCGTGTGTAGGGACAAACCGAGATTACGTGCAGAGCTTCGGCGCACACTACGCCGATGGAAAAATTGTAGTTGAAATTTAATCGGCTCTATACCAAAACATCGCCAGGAGCACTTACCTCGGAGTGAGCGGCAGTTCACTCGAGCCGGCGACAACCTGCAATTCAGAGCTCCCTGAACCACAGAGTCGCTTCGACTGGAGCTCGTTTACGATATTCGCCACATTCACATCCCGGCGGGCCACGAAATCCAGCCACATATCGCTCTCCTATCGCCCATACACGCACACGGAGCTCCAAACCACCGCCGTCGGAGCACTGTTGGTAATCTGCCGCTGTCTCTGTCGTGAACGAACCACTCCCCACGGCGGCTACATCAGACTGACGGCTGGACGGCCACCGCACCAGCAGCAGACGGGCGCCGCCAGCGGCCACTTTTCCTTTCCGCACGCGACAGATGCGGCGCGGATTCGCGTCAGCCGCTGCCGCAGCAGCGCCAGGACCGCCGCCGTGGGGCGCCGCTCGGTGAAACTGCAGGGAAACTGATCGGACAGGCCCGCGCCGGTCACCGCCCCGCGTCGATATCGGCGATATGACGGAGGGCAGGCCGGCAGAGTTAACCGCACAGCAACGGGCGTACTGATAGGACTGAGCGGTGCGGTTCCTCTATGATGTGCGCAAGAAAAATTTGTAACAGCGAAGGCCGTTAGTTCACACTCGGCATTAGCGACCCGTGGGCGATTGAAGTCGCTGGTGCTAGCGACCAACTCGTAGTTGTAGTCCCCAACAAGCAGCTACGGAAAGCCAGACCACAACTCCGTGGGAGCTTCAGGAGCTTATCATTTCCGCCAAAGTGTTCCCGAGGCCTCCTTTCACTAACAAGAATCACCAGAATAAAACGACATTAGCGACTGATTGAAAGTTGGAATCGGTGCTAGTGACCTACGCAGAGATCAAGTCTCCAATGTTAGTGGCTTGTGAGCAGTTGCAGTCGCCTGGGATCTTATGTGTTCGGGCGTCACAGTCGCCAGGTGGGTGACTGACATCCGTTGATGCAGGGAGGAGAGAAAGAGAAAAGGCTAGAGAAAGATAGAAAGAGAGAGGGGGAGGAGAGATAGAGAGAGAGAGAGAGAGAGAGAGAGAGAGAGAGAGAGAGAGAGAGAGAGAGAGAGAGAGAGAGAGAGAGAGAGAGAGAGAGAGAGAGAGAGAGAGAGAGAGAGAGAGAGAGAGAGAGAGAGAGAGCGAGAGCGAGAGAACGGAGCGGCTCGCTGGATGGCCGGCCGGTCGTGGGCTGCTGGACGTTGGAACGGGCCCAGTGCGCTGTCAGGCGGAACGTTATCTAACCGCCC